GCGAATATTCGGTACAGCCCTAATATCCATCTCACCTTTATCTTGACTGTTGAGCGTCGGCCAGATCCCCTTGTAACTCTCCGCAGCATCATTCTTCCCAGACCGTGATGATTTGTTTTTGCCTCCGCATTGTTCATTCGCTCTCATAGGGCCCTCACAACATCCAGCTTGTCATTCATAGATTAACCACCAAGTGGTGCTGAAACGGCATAACGATTTAACCGCTAAGCTCTCAATCTGTAGACATTATATTGCATTGATAGGAAGCAATCCTAGTGATTAAACCGCCCTCCCTTCCCCTCCCGACACAACTCACATAAAAGTCTTAAATAGGATGCAGCGAAATAACAACAGAAACATACACATGCAAGAGAACAATGAAATCAAACTTCTTCTGTCTTTCTATCCTCAAATGGAACATAGGCCCTCAACCAACTCACGCCAAGTCGTTCTATCCTTCGCCATTGCATGGAGCTCTCCCCATGTCCTCCCCATCTTTCCAACTTCATTCTCAAGCTCTCTTCTCCATGTGTTTTTTAGGCCTTCCTTTATTCCTACGCCCTTCTGAGTTCCAATGCAAAGTACTGGAGAAAAAAATAAATCAACTAGAGCTCAAATACGCACTAAATGAACAACCACAGTCATAGGTACACAGACACTATGGAAACGGCACGCAGCCAGACACACGAACATGACTAGACACAACAGCAACGAATGTATTTAGTGACGTAGAGAACAAGTTTGTGCACCTTTCAGATGTCTTTGCAAACAAACATTTCTAGGATCTACCACCCGAATAATTTAAATGTACAGTTTTTTAGTCAAAAGATATTGTACGACTTGTGTGGACTGGTTGCTTAGTCCTGCTCTCTACTCCATCCCGTAATCTCATCCCTCTACTCCCTTTTCTTCTTCTTTTTATTTTTCTTCTCCTTCTTCTTCTGCTGCTGCTGCTGCTTCTTTTCTGTTCCCATACTACATCGTATACGCCATCTTGCTCTTGCACCTGATGTTAGTCCCTAATCACCTTGCCAATGATTGATAGAAAATAAATAAATCCGACTTTCCTAGCCCTCTGCCCATTCATTAACCAAATATCAATTTCCTTGCTCATTACGAAAACATCTCACATAAAATCCATTGGTCTGTTATGAAGCCTATGAAAATTCCCTGGTAACTGGAAAATAAAGATGGGTATTTGTATTTATATTTGGTGCTACAGAAACGAATGACTGGTTAGCCTTTGTGTTATTTGTGTATCGTAGTTTTCAAAGCCCACATTTCCATGTTCCTTCTTCCCCCTTTTTTTTCTTTGTTCACAGGCTGAATACCCCAGCGGAGAGTCCGGGTTGCTTGTCCATTTGGACTTTGGATTTGTGCCGGGTTTGAATTTTGCGTGTACATCCGTTTTACTGGCTTTTTTGTGTGCACTTGGTCGTTCCTTGCCACTCGAGCAGATGCACTCCGATGAAGAAAGCCCCAGTTAGTCGACTCTCCCGACTTGCTTTCTTTTGGGGAGGCAGGAGGGTCTATTCTTGTTTTTCCCATAATGGGGCCCTGGAATCCATACGGGAAATGTTTTTCCAAAGGCTAGCTCACATCGTCGTAACCTGCATATACATTTAGCCCATGGGTCATGATTCCGACATACCAGAGATGGAAGTGAACATCTTGCAGTATGGCAACAGACCACATATGTGTTCATTTAAGATTAATGGTGGGCACAGTAGCTGTAAATGAGTTCTAACTCGGACTTTCATCGCCTGCAATGATTCACTAGTCTGCTTTAGGTAGGTAGGTAGGTAGGTAAGTTGTACCCCACCAGGACATCACACAAGCGATAAACACCTGGTGACACAAAGTGCCACCATGCGGATGAGGATCACCCACGGAAAGGTCTCAGAAACCCCTTTTCAGCCGTTAGGCCATATTTATGGCCCGGCTATATTCAGGGCCCCTGACAGAAGCCAGGGTGGGGCTTCAAATAACAAAATATTACATACCACTTTGGGACGACTATAGTGAAACACTATGCTTTATCAGAATCAGTGTTTTTGATTCAGAGCATTGTGATTTGCAATGTAGTGATTTCATTCTTGCAATTCATTAACTTCCGTCATTCATTATTTGTTTTTATGGATCTCAAATATTTAATTTTGTATTTTAGAAACGACTGTAGTTCCACCCTTGCTTTCATCATTTGCAGCCATGCACTTCTAGCGTTTAGTATTTAGGTATTTCATTCTGGCTTTTCCAAACGTTACCTACTTAATCCTAAATATTATCTACGCTATCTAATCCTTTATGCGTTTGCCACTCTTTTACTTGATAATAAAGATATTATTCCCCCCCCCCCCTACTTCCTTTGTGGACGGAACTATTGGTGTGTTTTTGAGATCAAAAATGAAATTGAAGAAAAGCTTCAAGCCCCTTCAACTATTTTTTTTCTAGATGTACTTCAGTAAACTTGAATGTTCTCACATGTATAATTATCTCGCCAAGTTACATCAAAGTATTTTTTTTTTTCACTATTTCTTCTGCTGCAAAGCTGAAGTTCTGTAACAAGACCAAAGTCCAGAAGTGGAGGAACAACCAGAACTTTCCACCCGAGTTTACAGCCGATAAGCTTTAACATAAAGATAAGAATGTAGCTAGAACGGTATTGTATAATCAAATCATGATAATTATGCTATCGCCATGTGACTCAAAGCATAGCGTCCTGCTCAAGTGCTGGAGGTCCAGGGTTCAAGTGAAGGCTGTGATGTCACTTGGACCTCTAGTAATTTCCCCTGGTTTCTGGGTAGAAAGATCGGACGCCTGTGTGTATTGCTGTAAAAAAAAAATCTGTTGGCAGTTCAAACTTGAAAGGAGGTAGCCTTATGTCGCTGCCCAGATAAAATTTGGAGTTGAAATTCTACCGAAAGTATTTCAGGATCCACGCTGGTGCTAGGGAGTTCGTGCACTACGCTAAGATACTTCAGACTTAGGTTTAAGTTAGAAGTAGAACGGAGCACTTATGGGTTACCACCCTTGTACCATAATGTTGTTCCGTTGTTTAAACTTTAACCTAAACCTTAAACCCTACGTTTTACTATTATGTATGTCACTAGTCCTCTTCTACATCAGACTGCATCAACATAAACAAATTTTGTCTCGCATTCTTGACACATAAACATGGATTTACACTAAATTAACATTACTGTTTACTCAGCAGCAACAACTCAGAGCGCGTTTGCTGGTTTCAAGTGACATTGTATTTTTTTCTGAATTCCTAATAAACGATCCATTTATGTTTGCGTGTGTCTGTTTTTCCTCTCCAGATTTCCATTCTGTAGGACAAACACCTCCAGGATGAGAATCACACAGCTACAAACCCTGTTCCACCGTATAGCCATACAGTACAGTTTTACTTGGGCACCATAAAGCGGTTAGGAGGTAACCTGTAGTCCAGTGTGGGTCAGTGTGGAGTGGATCCACCCAGTGTGGGTCAGTGTGGAGTGGATCAACCAAATTTGAGTTGGTGTGGGATGGATCCACCCAATGTGGGTTAGTGTTGAATGGATCCACCAAGTGTGAGCTGGTGTGGGATGGATCCACTCATTTGGGGTTGGTATCTTATGGATCTACCCAGTGTGGGCTGGTGTGGGATGGATCCACCCAGTGTGGAATGGATCCACCCAGTGTGAGCTGGTGTGGAATGGATCCACCCAATGTGGGTTAGTGTGGTATGGATCCAACCAGGGTGAGTTGGTGTGGGATGGCTCCACCCAATGTGAGTTGGTGTGGGATGGATCCACCCAGTGGGGGTTGGTTTGTGATGGATCTACCCAGTATCAGTTGACTGGCAACACCTTTATCTCAGAGTGTTATCATATTATCTGCCAAGACCAATAGCTTGCAACCTTTGTTTTACCCGGTGAACCTGTCACTCAGTCAAATATATGGCAAGATCCCACAAACCACCACCCCAAACCTCCGCCTCTTCCCAGAACTTAAAGATATCATCAAAAAGAGGAAGACAAAAAGTAAACCCTAAACACTATTAACCAGAACTGTGGGAAAAAAGCCCATCTAAATAAATGTAAGTATAACATAAAAACCTTGGCAACATTTCTTTACCATTTCCACGCCTTTAGGCGTATTGGGCATATAAGGTTATACCTACATTTTATAGACCAATCGGTACTCAGTGGATGATGTGATAACATCACACCAGCCGCCTTTACTTCCCATGACTTTACCTGGTACCCATTTAAAGCTCAGTCAAACTGAGAGCCAAAGTCATTTTTGAACAGTCAGGCTCCACCAGGACCCGAACTCATGACTTTCGATCCGCAGGCAGTCTCTAGCTGCTACACAACGGTAGCCTCCTGTTTGATAAATTGTTAAACATTTATTATTTATAATTAAACTAGGAACATGTTAGCACAACAGATTATTACAAGTAGAAATAAAATGAGTTTCAAAATTGTATGACCTCTGTCCTTCCCTTGAAACTTTGTTTAACCCTTAGGTTATATCACCCTCCCCCCCCCCCTTTTTCCCCACTCGCCGACAGCTGGGATGATGCATTAAAATAAAATCCAAAAATCTGGCTCAGTTAACTATATACATACAGTTGGGAATATTTCTAGTGGGATAATTTGATTTTCTGCAGATAGATTAATTTATGCATTTCAAATTATTAACCGAAAATATCAAAGTGAGAGCAATGTAAAAAAAAAAAAAACATCACAGTCAATTAATTTACACCTAAATCATAAATTCAGTTTATAATTTGTCGAACGAATCTACTATACATTATTATCCTGAAAATATAAAAAAAAGCATTCAAGAGATAAATTTATTTGAAAGAATAATATCACCGAAATATCACGATTTTGTTTTTGTTGCAACATGAATATTGTTAGATGATTTTGAAATCAGCGAGATCACGGATGGTCATATCCGAAAGAAGATGTTTCTGTTGGTTAGCGTCGTCCGCACCAAGAGAGGCAGATTCAAATTCTAGACTCCGAATGTTTGGAACCGTTCACTGATCCGTTACCAAGGGCAACCACAGTTTGTCCTTGGCTGTTATATCTAACGATAGTGTCCGTTGGAGGTCGAAGACTATCTCTATGGGAAGCAACTGGACCGTATTGTTCAACGTAACTCTCCGATCGCATGCGGGAGTTAATCCCCTTACATCGAAACAGCAGAATCTCCTTAAATGGGGTGCGAAACTCTCTGTTGAAGCGTGCATATATCATGGGGTTGAGGAAAGAGTTAGCATAACCTAACCACAGCAGCGTACTGTCTAGTGCTATAGGAACGTTGCAGCAGAACGTCTTCACAAGCACGAGTATGAAAAAGGGCAACCAGCAGAGTGTGAAACATCCCATGATGATTCCAAGAGTCTTTGTTGCTTTCCTGTCTTTCGTGTTTGACAGTTTGTGTTGCTTTGGAAGCAATGAGCGTATGGTAAAACGTCTTTTATGCTTGTCAGGCTCAAGTTTCTTTGGAAAGTTCTCCAGAGAGCCCTCATCATCTGCGTTGCCGCTGCCATCTCGCAAACACCCATTGACCATGATGTTGCTATCGTCTGAATCATTTGATGGGCGACCAATTTGGAATTCAGCACCTTTGTCGAAACTTCCAATTTTAGTTTTGGCTTCGGCTTTAGCAATTTTGGAGGAGACACGCCAGATTTTGTAGTAAATAAACACCATAACTAGAAGTGGCAGGTAGAAGGCACAAAGAGTTGCATAGATCTGGTAGCCTATGTCATTACTGATGTAGCAGAGAAAGGGCATATGCTCGCTTTTCCACCCGAAAACTGGAGGGATAGACACTATAGCAGACACACTCCACACGATTAAAACCATTAGACCCATTCTTTTTGGAGTACGTTTCATGGCGTACTGAAACGGGCGAGTTATCACGAAGTATCTGTCAATGCTAATCGCACACAGATTTAGTATAGAAGACGTGCACAGGAGAACGTCAGTAGTCGTCCACATATCACAGACTATAGGACCCAGGATCCAAGCTCCTTTAATCTCATGAATCACTGCAAACGGCATAACCAGCATACCCACAAATAAGTCTGCAACTGCCAATGAAACTATTAACAGATTGGAAGGAGACTGTAGTCTCTTGATAAGAGCCACGGATATACAGACCAGGGAGTTTCCAATGATAGTACATATTGCAACCGCCCCCAAAATGACGGCGATAACGATCTGTTGCCACTCTTCATACGGCGACGGTGGCTGTTCGGGGTAGGGGCAGTCGGTAGTGTTTGTAATATTGCTCACATTAGCGAATGTATTTGCAGCGATGCTTCTGTTCTCCAAGAAAGTGCTGTTACGTCCAAAGAGGACGCTGTCCGTGATGTTCATTGAGCTGAGCTTTAGAGGAGAAGATTGGACAACGGAGTCAGAAAAGCTAGACATCTCAGAGTTGTCACCCTTATTCTTCAGTATTCTTGGGCATTGAAATGGAAATAAGTGTCTCTGTTATGTCTTCGCTTGGTTAGTTGCATGAGAAAATAGATCATCCATGAAACTAGATCTAGCAAATAATTGACAGGTAATTCACCTACGAGCTCTAGCCACACCGTGCTCGTGGACACAGCACAAATATGTCGATGTCCATTTTAACTATATTTTGAATTCCTAATGTATAAACTTGGATAATGTTGCTCTTGGCATAAATCGTGTCAATAGTGATGATATTATTTCTTGGTAAATGTCAGGAAGACCCTCATGGCTAAATTTTGGAAAATCTACTTTGACAAAGGCACTTAGACAGGTAGAGATTTCGTTCAGTAAAACTTTGTCGGCAGCTACTGGGGCTTGTTATGAAGAACGAGTTTGGCCATTGGAAGGTCATCTGCTCTTTATGTCAGGGATATGTTGCAGTCTCACAAATTAATTGTAAGTAAAATCACCTGTATTTTACGTACTCTAGGCTGATTTCGAAATTCCTTATACAAGAAACCGGGCAAGGTAATCTGTATAGATAATAAATTCGCTCATATCTCTGCTGTTTTCTGCCTTCCACTGAAACTTAGCAAAACCTTATTTCTGGTACAGCACCACGACCCAGACGGAACATTAACCAAAAGTGAAGTGAAATTCGAAGATAATTGATAAAATAAACAAGGGTGAAACGTTGTTAGAGAGGATATCGACCAGGCTGATGTGATTATCTATCGATCTGTCTTCTTTCTATCACAGACAACAACGGCCTTTTCGTGATCACTCTTGTATTCGCCTGCCCAGCAAAAAAACTTCTGCAAAGTGAGAGAGAGAACTTGCTAAAGATGAGTAGCTTGTGCTTAGCTTGGGAAACGCCGTCCAACAGATGTCACATTCCAAAGATGGACGAACAAAAATCCAGTATTCGCCACACTCGTGTGTGTACTTAACTTATATCCCTGCACTAATCCTGTGTGCTGCTCTGTTAATCCAATCTTGTGTTATGCGACATAAAAAGTATAATCCCACACATGAATGGAAACACACGGAACTAAACAACTTGTGTCCTATCTTGTGTATTAGTAGCCCTCCATGTCTGCTTGCAGCCACACAACTTATATCTGACCGTATTGAACTAGAGCTTTACAGTTGTCAGCAATTGCAGCCACACGCTGGTAAATCTCTCTTCTGTTTGCAAATAAATAAACTGGCGTGTGATGAATCAGTTGGGGGGAAAAAGCCTTTAATAGATTATATTATCCAGCTATGCCGGTCTCCTGAAATACTGAATCAAAATTGCAAATCATAAGAAAAAGCATTGCGGAAAATCGCATGCATAGTTGACCATTGTATCATCCCTTCTTGAAGTCATTATTATTGAACAGTTTCTCTCAAGTCGTCTCCCTTTTATCAGGGCGATTATGAACATTGAATTACGCACTCAACAGAGTCGCAAGATTGTTCGGGTAGCAGAGGAAGTTTGATTGAAGCCATTTATTTACATGCTTGTGTCGGCGTCATATTTTCGCTTCATACACCAGTTCATTTGTGTAGAGTATCCCCCATTTAATTCCTCGTAGCTAATCAAGTCTGAACAGTCATACAGTCACCTCTAGGAATACATCCGTTTAATTAGGTCAGTTGAAAGCTGTTGAAATACCACGTTTACATTAGGATCATAGATTTTAAACGCATCGCATGTTTCTCAGTCGACACAGGTGCAATGCTTCGGGTGATGCAAAGTACTAAGTTGGATTTCTCAAGCATAAATTGTTACATGTAGATTTTCTTGAAAATATTGTACAAAGCGTGGACTTGAAAATGTTTAAGAAGCTTTCAATCCATCGTCTGCAGTTAAATCTAAACGCCTTCAGTCTGGACAAAATGATACTTTATTCCCCAGTCATGGAAGACTGAGCAGGCAGTAGCTTGGATGAAGTCCAGTCAGTGGAAATGTTTAAACAATCTAGTCGGGCTAGATAGGTTGTTTGGTTATGCGGATGCTTTCCTGGTTAACCAACTAGTGAGGCGTATACTGTTGACTCTGCAGGAGAAATAATTTGCCTTGATGTTACAGTGTAGATGATGCTCAGTCGTCAGACAAGATCATTGACATTCCGTGTTATATCCCTGCACCAGTAAATCTGCAATCATAAACAATAAAGATATGTTGTCATAATATAATTCAGGAAGATCACAAAGGAATCATAATCACCGCCATCGACATCATTATCATCACCCCCCCCCCCCCACCAACCCCACCCACCACCATCATCATAATTATTACCATCATCATCATCATAATTATTATAACCATCTTCATCATCATAATTATTATTACCCTCATCATCACCACCACCAACCCCACCACCACCACCATAATTATTACCATCATCATCATCATCATTATAACTATTATTACCACCATCATCACTATAATTATCATCATCATCATCCTCATCATCATCATCATCATCATCATCACCACCATAACCATCAAGCAACCCATGACACTCCACAACCGGGGAGTCGACACAAATACAGACAATAGAGTGGGAGGAGGAGGAAAAAGGAATAGTGGTCACTCAGCAAAATCAGCCTCTAAAAATTGTTCGGGGTGAGTGGGGGAGGGAGTGGTGCTCAACAGGCCTAAGTGTTGGTTATAAGCACTTGAAATGATGAAGATAATAATAATAAAATAATAATAGCAACAATGATATCACAGTAATCCCACTCTAGGTTCCAGTGGCCCACTGTGGAGGGAGGGAAAAGGGGTGGGGGGGCAAACAGAAACAAAATAGGCCCACTGCAGCTTTTAGAAACATGTCATATCTAGAAAAACCACGGGTAAGTAGAGGCGTTTTTTTTTTTTACAAACTCGGAGTGCATCTACTTAAAAGACTAGGAAACTAACAGTCTGCATGCAAATAACTCAGATCTGCAAAGTGGATGTGCACACAAAAACTTACGTTCTGAAAACAAGACCAAAGTCCAGAAGTGGACAAATAACCTGAACTTTTTACAGCCGCTGAAAGCCAACATGATGAGAAAGGCTATATCATCCACTGAAGGCCAACATGAGAAAAGCTTTTTCATCCACTGAAGGCCAACATGATGAGAAGGGCTATATATTCCACTAAAGGCCAACATGATGAGAAAGGCTATATCATCCACTGAAGGCCAACATGATGAGAAAGGCTATATCATCCACTGAAGGCCAACATGATGAGAAAGGCTATATCATCTACTGAAGGCCAACATGATGAGAAAGGCTATATCATCCACTTAAGGCCAACATGATGAGAAATGCTATATCATTCACTGAAGGCCAACATGATGAGAAAGGCTATATCATCCACTGAAAGCCAACATGATGAGAAAGGCTATATCATCCACTGAAGGCCAACATGATGAGAAAGGCTATATCATCCAACATGAAGGCCATCATCTACTGAATCACGATGAGAAAGGCTATATCATCCACTGAAGGCCAATATATATCACGAGAAATGGCTATATCATCTACTGAAGGCCAACCATGATGAAGAACATGAAAGAAAGCTATATCATTCCACTGATCCAAGGCCAACATGATAGAAAGGCTATATCAATCCATGATAAGAAAGGCTATATCATTCACTGAAGGCCAACATGATAAGAAAGGCTATATCATCTCACTGAAGGCCACATGATTAAGAAAGGCTAAGAAAAGGCTATATCATCCACTGAAGGCCAACATGATGAGAAAGGCTATATCATCCACTTAAGGCCAACATGATGAGAAATGCTATATCATTCACTGAAGGCCAACATGAAAAGAAAGGCTATATCATCCACTGAAGGCCAACATGATGAGAAAGACTATATCATCCACTGAAGGCTAATATCACGAGAAAGGCTATATCATCCACTGAGGGCCAACATCACGAGAAAGGCTATATCATCCACGTGAGCGCCGAATGGGGTATAAAATATGAGTCCAGCACAATATTGCCGATGAGCAAGAGGCGTGAAAAGGTCATTTACTTGACTTACCATACATTAGATGTTTGAACAACGACAGTAAATGTTGTACACTAACAGTAAATGTTGTACACTAACAGTAAATGTTGTACACTAACAGTAAATGTTGTACAATGACAGTAAATGTTGTACAATGACAATAATTGTTGTACAATGACAGTAAATGTTGTAAAACGACAGTAAATGGTGTACAATGACAGCAAATGTTGTACAATGACAGCAAATGTTGTACAATGACAGTAAATGTTGTACAATGACAGTAAATGTTGTACAATGACAGCAAATGGTGTACAATGACAGCAAATGTTGTACAATGACAGTAAATGTTGAACAATGACAGTAAATGTAGGAGAATGACAGTAAATGTTGCACTACGACAATATATGTTGTACAATGACATTAAATGTACAATGACAGTAAATGACAGTGTTGAACAATGACAAAATGTTGGACAGTTGTACAAATGTACAATGACAGTAAATGTTGAACAATGACAGTAAATGGTGCACTACGACAATAAATGTTGTACAATGACATTAAATGTTGTACAATGACAGTAAATGGTGCACAATGGCAGGAAATGTTGTACAATGACAGTAAATGGTGCACAATGACAGTAAATGTTGTACAATGACAGTAAATGTTGTATAATGACAGTAAATTGTGCACAATGACAGTAAATGTTACACATCAACAAGACATCAAGAGACGAGACAATACCATAGCAAGAAAATATTAGCAATTGCTACATCTGGCTAATGAAATAACTGTAGTGATTACAGGCTTACAGCTTGTTCTAATTACTATATACTCAGGAGGAAAGTTCTGGTTGTTCGCTCACTTCTGGACTTTGGTCTTGTTAAAGAGCTTGGGGTTTGCGTGCACATCCACTTGACATGTCTGGTTTATTTGTGCGCAGACTATTGGTTCCTCATCTCTCAGGCAGATGC